CACTTTCCAGTTGAGTACGCTATCCACTTTGTCCGGATCCATCCTAATGCCTCGGTCGTCCACGATGCGCCCTAGGATCTTCATTTCATTGCACAGAAATTTCAATTTAGTAGCACTCAGAAACAGTTGCTCACGCTTCAGTATGTCTACGACGATTTTGACGTGTTTGACGTGGTCTGATAGGGTATCCGAGTAGATCACAATGTCATCTAGATAGACGTCAAGAAACACCCCAATGTATGGGCCGAAGATGTAGTTCATCAAGCTCTGGTACGTTGCGACAGCATTGCAGTCTCCCTGCTGCAAAACAAGGCTGACCATGTTTCCATCAGGTGTAGTCATCGCTGTACGTTCCACATGTTCGGGTTCCACCCGAATCTGTTCGTACGCGTCTTTACCGTCTATCAGGCTCCTATACTGATGCCTGGATACGCGTCGCAGAATACCTTTCATGTCCGGAAGCGGTGATGTCAGTTTTTTCGTGTTGGCGCTACGTTCGCGGAGATCGCACACTACTCGCAGTTTCGGAGGGATTCCTTTCACTCCCGTACCAGGCTTGGTAAGGAGTAGCATTGGGGACGTGTTACGGGCACTAGTGTACTTCCATCGCCCCGATTTGAGGTAAGCATCTCGCTTCTCCCGCCAATTCTCTCTGTGAGCGTCCGGACACTTAGACGGCCGCCAGGTATAGACCTTATCCGGGTCTATAAGGGGGATACGATGGTTGATGGTCCGCAAAGGAGGTAGTGGTGAGTCACTAGCTTCCTTGCAAATGGGAGCCGCATACTCACGCAACTCCTTTCGTGCCGCCTCAAGCACGTTGTCCAGCACGTCCGCCGCGTGTGACTGTAGCGTCCGCACCTGGCGGCCCTCGATTGGCAGAGCCTGCGGACTGCCGACCACTAGGGTGGTGGGGTTGAGTCCCAATGTGACCTTGTGTTGGAAGATGAATGGAGTTCCGAGAATGAGGTCGTAATTCAGTAAGTTTATGACATCAAAATACCTCTCGGTCCTGATGCGCTGGTATTCCAGTCGAGCTCGGCAGCCAAAGTTAATCTTTGCGCGGGACCCTTGGACGGCCAGCTGCACAGGCAAAGGTTTGGTGAGCTCAAAAACCTCCAGACCTAACTGATGTGCTAACCTTGCAGACATGAAGTCTGACAGGGATCCTGAGTCGACTAGGGCCCGAGCGGGCTGCTCATTCACCTGGACAACTACGACGACTGGTTCCGGGATGAGTCGAGAGAAATCCCGGGGAGCGGCCGCGTTGCGCTGTAGCGCACTCAAGCTGTTATCGGATTCAGCGTGGCGAGTCTTTGGTCGTACGGCAAAAAGCGGGATGGGTGGACTGATGCGAGGGCTCGGTTTACGCGTGAACAGGATTCGAAATTCGCCCGCCAGGTCATCAAGCTCAAAGGCCGGAGCCGCGAAAAGCCGTCGGACGTGCCGAGCGAAGTAGCCCAGCAGGTCGAACCTAGGGTTCAAGAGGAACTTGACCGGTATTGACAAGGTGCGTTTGAGGTACATATCTCGCACCGTAACGTCGTCGTAATACTGAACCACCATGTGCCGGGGTGGATAGAACGCGTTCAAAGGGTCCTCCGGCCACGGATGGTATTCTTCAAGAATATGCTTGACCTCTAGAGCGAGCACATCCCCCATGAGACAGAACTCGGGTTCCCCTCGTGCGAGGAAACAAGCTTGATGGTCCGGAGACTTCTGCTCTACTACCCGTTGCCGGTAATAGCGCACTACGTCGAAATCGGGGTCCCGTAATTGGGACTAGTGTTGTGCAAGGCCGGGCTCAAAGCCCTGAAGCCCCGGGTACCTGGCCCCCAAAAGCCCGGCCCAGCCCAGCCCGGCGTCGGGCTTTCAGGGCTTGGGGGCCCGGCTTAAATGTCTGCAAGCCCGAGCCCAGCCCTCAAGCCCGGGCTTGAGGAGGACCTCTGTATCTGACCGCGTAGGGCCTTGAACAGCCGTCCGAGATGCTGAAAGGTAAGTGAAAAGTAAGGGTCGGCTCACAAAGCTTGACAGTGATGCCTCTCGGCGGACCTGGTGCAGATGGACACGGCCGGTCGGGTGAGCGCTAGACCTGCCTGATTCAGGACTGCGGCTCACAGGGTTCGTACCGTCTTCTCTTCGCCAAAAGTGGCCATTTACATGCTGCTTACTCTTTCTTTCATGTGTAGCAAGGCCTACAAATGAGCTGAGGTACGTGTCAAATGCTAATTCTTCATATATATGTGATAGGCCTAAAGCCCGGGCTTGAGCCCGACCCGACCCGGACCCAGCCCGAGCCCACCACTAGGGCCTGGCTCGAGGGTTCAGTGAGCCTGAGCCCTCCAAAGCCGAGCCCTAGCCCGGGGTTTTGAGCCCGGCCCGGCCCTGCACAACACTAATTGGGACGTTTCTACTAACACATCGTCCATATTCCAGTGAAAAATCACGTACAAGTCTTGCGAGGTACGATACACATGAGGTGAGGGTTTACCTCCCTTGTCGATATCCGCATCGTGACAACAATAGGGTCCATTGAGTTGCAACAGGTACTCGGCGTGAGCCGTGTATAGGTTGCCTACGCGACGCTCTCCGCGTCGAATCAGCGGCAACTCAAGCCCGAAACCTGGATCAATTCTCCGCACCGGACTCAAGACAGGAACTTCCCCACTTGTCTCGTTGTCGAAATAACCGACCGGAACGTTGCTGTCGGCCTCGTTTTCCCACTCGGTGAGTACAGAGCCTTCCGTATCTGACCAGTCCGAATTTTCAGACTCTGAAGAGTTGCTGACTGATTGTAAGTCAGGCATATCGTCCCAGGCGGTCTCGACATAGTGCAAATCAATGCCAGCCGATGTCTCAGTGGTGGCGGCCAGCTCCCTGAGCTGTTCAGCCAGAGAATGGCCTCCGATTTCCACGCTGTACGAGGTGAGTCCAGGAGGTTTTCCCTTCTTGTCTGACTTGACCAGGTTGGCTTTGGGGCACACATTCGCATAGTGACCCGTTTCCTTACACAGGAAGCACTTGCCTTGCTCCCGGAGCTCAGCACGTTCCCGGCTCGAGAGCCGGGGCTCGTTCTGGGTGCGAGAGGATCGCTTGACTCGCCCGGACGATTTCTTGCCCTTGCTCGGCCTGGCTTGGTGAATTCTTCCGCCGTTATGTCCCTGAGAGCGGCGCTGATCATTCTGACGATTCTCGCGATCGTTACGATGCGGGTACGCCTTCTGCTGGCTTCTGGTGCGCAAGGAACTTCGATTGTCCCGCTTGCGCCCTCGAGGTTCATTCCCCGGGCGGGAATAACGTCCTCTGCCGACCTTTTCAGCGATCTCAATAATTTCGGCAGCCTCGCGGACTTCTGGCCAAGTGGAGGTCGTCGGAGTGAGTTCCTTTTTCCATAATTCACGCTGTATGCTTTCATTCAGGCCGTTCCACAGCTTGTCCACCTGTTCTCGTTCCGAGACGAATCCGACGAGCAAGAACAAGTTCTCAAGCTCGTGCACGCAGTCGCGCACGCTACGTCCTCCTTGGTAAATATTTCGCAGCTTCTCTCGCATCTGTAAGCGATAATCTACAGGAAAACAGTAGTTGAATAGTTCTTTGAACAGATCTTCCAGCGTCCACTCCGCCGGATTATTAGAAACGGTATTCACCCAGAAGGTGTAAGCCTTCCCGGTCAAGAAATTCGAGATGGTCGAGGTGTGCATCCGTGAGTCCATAGTGTACCCCCGGATGAACTCCACGCACTGACGCATGAACTTGTGGAAGGTCTGGGCATTGGCCTCGCCGTTGTACTTCTCCGGTCGCTCAGGTTTGAGCACCGGCTTCTTGGTGCGCTTTTTCCTTTTCTTACGGGACTTCCGTGAGGCTCGGCGAGAGCTCGTAGACTCACTTTCTTCGGCAGAGCTCGTATCACCGCCTTCTGAGGGTTCAGAAGAGGATGAGGATGAACTGCTAGAGCCGTCCGAGGGATCTCCGCCCGTGATGCCAGCGAAGGCCCGTTCTAGGTAGCTGCCAGGCTCCAGCTGGGCCACTGGCCGCAGAGACGATGCCCGGTGAGCAGGCCCGAGACTCTTTCTCCCAGCTTCGGATTCCTGGGAGACAACAGCGCCCTTGGCCTTCCAGGCCTTCTGCGAATCCCGCTTCTTCTTACGAGCGGCCTTACGCTGCTCTGCTTCTTCCAAGTTCCTTCAACCGAGCCAGCTCCTTGCGGATTTCCTGGAGCTGCTCCGTGAGGAGGCGGTTAGCCTCCTGGCTAGCTGAGCGACGAGGAGCGGCCATTATGGCTTCCTCGACCTCACTCGCCTCGGACGGGGTTGAAGCGCGGCTTGTAGTGTATGAGGAGCCCGACTGGGTAGATCCACCCGGTGTAGTAACCGCCGTCGGCTCACGTTCTGAGTCCTTCCGCCCTTGCTTTCGAGCTTGGCAATACTCCAGCATGGCACGCTGCTCGTCTGTATCATAGTTATCAAATATATTGTGATGCCCAGTACTATACAACTGCAGCTCGCGCCTCTGCGCGTTAGGGTCTAGCTCATCGTCTGGGATGCCCGAGGCACCCCAGTTCCGTGCATCCACGGTCTTCCCCTTGTCCCGAGAGGGACCCTCACCCCGATGCTCGGGAGAGAGGGAACGCGGGCGAGTCGTCTCGACCGCTGCCATCCGGCGGGAATAGCGGTCCCGTTCCGCTGAAGTAAGGCTCGCGGCGGCCGTATCAACGGCCGTCCGCTGAGGAGAAGTGAGTACGGGGCCGTCCTGCGCAGTGACGGGATCTCGAGCAGGCGGAGCGGCGTCCGCACTGCGAGCACGGCGGCGCCGTTGGACTGGGATCCAAGGGCCGCCGTCGTTGTCAGAGCTGTCCTCGACGGTCACTGGATACTTCCGAACGCCCTCGCCGGCGTCGGAAACGGGAGAGTTTAAAGCCCTCGGGGCATCTGCTTCTGCAGTCACCAGCCCGGCTACTATAGCGGAGGACTGGGAACCCGAGGCGGGAACACCACGCTCGGTTCCGGGGCTGACACCACCG